GGCAAGCAGTTATACAAGGGCAAATCATGGAATGACTGAATTAAAACATTGAAATGAACCCCACTGGATAGGTAAGGATGTTAGTGGTTCCCTGTGCTGGGTCTGTGTCCTGACTTCCTGCCCTGTCAGTTTGAGTCAGATCAAAATGAGTGATTCATGGGCTCAAGACAGAGTTTAGCTTCTAAGGGCACTTGTTCTTGGAGAGGACCTGGGCTCAGTTCCCAGCACCACATGGTGGCTCACAAGTATCTGTAACTGCAGTTGCAGAGGATCGGATGCGCCTCTTCTGACCTCTACTAGCTCATGCATGCACACAGCACACATTCATGCATGCACACAGCACACATTCATGCATGCACACAGCACACATTCATACATGCCAACAGCACACATTCATACCTGCACACAGCACACATTCATACCTGCACCCAGCACACATTCATGCATGCACATAGCATGCATTCATGCATGCACATAGCATGCATTCATGCATGCACATAGCATGCATTCATGCATGCACATAGCATGCATTCATGCATGCACACGGTGCACATTCATACATGCAAATCACATGCATTCATACCTGCACCCAGCACACATTCATACCCGCACACAGCCCACATACATGCCTGCACACTACACACATTCATACCTGCACACAGCACACATTCATGCCTGCACACAGCACAAATTCACACACGCAAGCAAGACACTCACACAGAGTAAATGTGAAGTTGAATGTAAAAAGGTAGCTAGTGCGATACTGGAAACATGTGTGTGAATGCCAGCAGCCTGGGAGAGCGCACTCGGCATTGCTGAGACCACAGGAGGGTTAGCGTGAGTGAGCGAGTGAGCGAGCGAGTGAGTGAGTGAGTGAGCGAGCGAGTGAGTGAGTGAGTGAGCGAGTGAGTGAGTGAGTGAGTGAGTATGGCCAGACTCACAAAGAAGGAAAGTAGAGGCTGGGAGAGGGGAAATGCAGAGTTTGTGTTTTGAAAGGGGAAGCATGCTAATTACATGCCATTGGGGATAATAACACTACTAGTCTATGTCACTTATTTGGAGAGAAAATTAACATGCAAGTCTTTCTACCCTAATGTCATGCATTAGGTTTTTAAAAATTATTTTGAGAGTGTCATACATGAGCCCCGCGTCACTCTCAGGCTTCCTCCCTCCTAACTTCTCCAGTACTCCCTCTTTCTCAAATTTGCAGCCTCATCTTTGTTTTTTTATTTAAAAGATTTACTTATTATGGTATACACTATTCTGCCTGCATGTGTGTCTGCATGCCAGAAGAGGGAACCAGATCTCATTATAGATGGTTGTGAGCCATGTGGTTGCTGGGAATTGAACTCATGACCTCTGGAAGAGCAGCCTGTACTCTTAACCACTGAGCCATCTCTACAGCCCTACAACCTCATCTTTAATTATTATTGTTACATATATATTCGTGTGTGTGTGTGTGTGAGTGTGTGTGTGTGTGTGTGTGTGTATACGTGGGAGCTTGTTCATGAAGAAAACTGATTCTCCCTCTCTCTCAGAAGCCGTTGACTACCTGTTAGCCCCTCCTCTAGGGTAGGACCTTACGGAGTTTCCCCTGTCCATGCTGGCATGTCAGCTGGTGTGTTGGTCTTGTTCAGGTTACCATGTTGTTGAGAGTCCATGGGTGCCTTTCCTTGTCATGTAGGCAACACTAGCTGCGTGCACTTGCTCTTCCAATCTGTCTTTCTGCCCCTCTTCCGTGATGTTCCCTGAGCTGAGGAGGGGATGTTGCATTGCCTGATGGAGGTATTTCCATTGGAATTGGGCACTCCAGGGTTAGTTGTTCCCTGCATTTTGGCCAGTTATGTATCATTGTACTAATCTCCATCTTTTGCAAAAAGAAGATTCTTTGATGAGGGGTGAGAGCTGTACTTAACCAGGGTTGATGGATTGCACAGACAGACCTGAGCTATATGTACTTTAAAAGGGAAAAGTGTACCACATACTTTTACAGAAATTTTAGATTTTTAACTGGTGTGCCTGACATGTCAGTTCTTGTGAGGCCTGCTCCCAGATGAATGGAGCTAGATAGGGAGCTCTAGAAATATCAGCACATGGGAGGTAAATGTACCTAAATCATGAGTCGAAGGTCATTCATAGCTACAGAGCCAGTTCAGTGCCAGCCTGGATTCACAAGGTCCTGTTTTTTTGTCTCTGTGTTTTAAAAGGCAGGGTTTTAAACTCTAGGTGAGTAGAGAAGTGTAAAATACAAACAAGTACAAGAAAAATAAAAGAGCAGTGATTAAAAACTCCAAACAGAGGCTGGAGAAATGACTAATCAGTTAAGAGCATTGGCTGCTCTTCTAGGGGACCCAGGTTCAACTCCCAGCACCTACATGACATGACAGCTCACAACTGTCTGTAACTCCAGCTCCAGGGGATCTGACACCTTCACATAGACACACACCCAGGCAAAACATGAGTGCACAGAAAATGAAAACAAATAAATCATTAAAAAAAAACCAAAACCATTAAGACAATCTACAGAGTGAGTTCAAGCCAACCAGGGGGACAACACAGTGGGATAGATTGTGCCTCAGAAGGGGAAAAAGGGTTCTGCAAAAAGTACAAAAGTGCCTTCCATGTGCTACATGGCTACATTCACATATTTGATGAAACAGCAGAGCCAGGCTGTAGGGTAAAATGTTGAAGCCCACTTCTGGGTGTGAAAACTCACCAAAATTTACTGGTTCCTGAGCCTGAAATCCCAGCAATCCCCACTCTGGAAATCTCCACCCTGGAAAAAACACACACACACACACACACACACACACACACACACACCCGGGAAAACACACACACACACACACACACACACACACACACACACACTCCTATGTAAAGCCTGCCTCCTGCTCAGTTCCCCTCTGCCTCTCTTCTGAGCAGAGGTAACCACCCTCTTGTGTCTCTCCCAATAAGTCTCTGAGTTTTGTTGTGTGGCATGACTTTGCAGTATTCCTTGGCTCCTCCATGCGGTCAGGATACCCTTTCCTTCAGAACTCGGGAAGCCTCCCCTCAGAGCTGAAGCACTCACCAAAACCACAGGAATAACGTGCCCCACACTTACTGGGATGGATCATTAAGTAACATAGAAGAAAGGGAATAGTAAGTACATCTCACTTAGTACTTTTAAAAAAGAAGTACATGGGCTGGAGAGATGATGGCTCAGCCGTTTAAAGCTAGGCTCACAACCAAAAATAAAAAGAAGCACATGAAGAATTTTTTGGGTTGGTTCAGTGTTTTTTGTTTGTTTTTATTTTTGTTTTGAGTCTTGGCTCAATTTCAAGATACCCCTGCTTCCTGGGATTTGCAGCTGCACACCACCAACCCACCCAGATTGAACCCAGGGTCATACATGTGCCCGGGCAAGTGCTGTGTCACTGCACTATGCCCTCAGGACGTCCCGCAAAGAGCACTCTTAGGGGTACCCCGAAACTTTGAGCATACATTGATGGCGTCTAAGATGACTCCAGCTGACACACAAGAAAAGAAGGAGTCTTTAGACTTTCACCTTTGTACAGTGTGTGTTTTCCCATGGGCATGTACTACATTACAAAATAGAAACGTCATTATGTGTTCATTTTTTATTACTAAAAAAATAGCAGCTGCACAGTGCAAGTTAGGGGTAGAGGTGGTTGCTGCTGTGGTACTTTGTCATGTAAACATGAGCAGTCAAACAAAGGTCACACCTGGGCTGAAGAGTAGCTGGCCTTTGTTACTTTAGTTTGCAGATGAATAGAATTAAGTCGAAGTCATTTTACTCCTCCTCCTGTTGACTACCTCTGCAGCACAGAGCCCCTACCTGCCCTTTGTTATATTTCCTCTTTGAAGATAATTTAAGGGTCTCAGTGTGCTGTAGATTAAGAAAGCCCGACTGCAGGCAGCCACTGTTGACATGGTTTTTTTTTTTTTCTTCCTAGATGTGTAGCTGAAGCTGTATGGTTGGAGCATACCTGGTTACACTCAGGCCGCCTATACCTAGAATGCTGTGCATATAAATGGCTTAGTACAGTGTATACTTTTTTTTTTTTTTTGAAAACATTTTTTTTTACCGTGAAACATTCCTGGAGAGTTTCTCTGGGATCATGAATAGTCATTTTTCAAAGTTCATAATGTGCATTGAATCTGGAGCCCTCCGGAAGCTGTACGTGTGCCAATGCCAGAGTCCTGTCCACAAAGGTCCCATCCACATGGCTGTAGCAGCCTCGGGTCTGGATGTTTCTAAGCTTCCCAAGTTAATTCTGACTGGAAACCAGAAACTGAGGAGTCATTGTTTTGAAGAAAGAATATTCACAGATATAAATACAAGGCAACATCTACGCATGGGTAGATTTGGGCACGCTATTTCTCATATTTATCTGTTAAATATGCCTGCCCATCTGTATTAATCTTACAGTGGTAACCCTAGCACTCAGGAGACAGGCAGAGGCAGGGGGATCTCTGAGTTTCAGGCCAGCCTGGTCTATATAATGAATTAATTCCTGGCAGGCCAGGGCCAAATAGTGAACCCCTTTCTCAAACAACAACAAGCAATCAACTATAGAAAGTGGTGTGGCCCCTAAACTGGTAGAGTCCCCACAGAGGAGCTGGCTTAGAAGGGAGTCCCCACATGCTGGCACATGCTCTGAGCTGTGGGCAGGTTTGCTGCTGCTGAGCAGCCAGAAGCACTGCCAGGCTGAGTGTATGGATTGGTTATCAGTGCAGCAGGCTGGAGCCCAGTGTTTCTGTCGAGAGGGCCACTAATTGGGAGACCCATGAGAGACAAATGGCTAGTAGCAGGAGGCCTGGGATAAGATGAGTGTTGGGAGTGCTGCTGCATGGGATGCTAGACTACCAGAGCTGCAAGGGTGCCTGTGCTCAGCCTAGGTCTGTAGTCAACAGCAGGGCAGTGACAGCCACATGTTGACCTTACAGTGCCACAGCACCAGGGGTCAGGAGAGCCCCTCATCCTGTTGTACCCTCTAATGAGAACGCTTCCCAGGTCTCTGACTGAATGAAGAAGGGCCAGAGCCTGTCTTGTTGGGAGAGCATGGAGCTGTCAGGCAATTGTTAGTGACCACTTGGGCTATTAGACTCCTCAGCTCCATAGCCCAGTGGCTAGGCTGTTGTGACCTTTTAAAGCAGAGTTCCTCCATGCTGTGTATCTTGTAATAGCTCTTCAGCTGAACAGGGCTCTGTGTAGAGGGATAATCCTTTGGTCAGACAAACATGAAATTAAGTGTACGTGGGATTCGCCTCCAAAAGCCTGGTTTGTGGGGCAGGATAGAAACCACAAATGGACACATGCAGTGATGGTGTGAGACAACACTTGGAAAAGCACTAGTCTGATGGGTTTGTACCTTACTCCATGTCCTTCATACAATGCCCAGTACAAGTCTGGTTCTCCACAAATGTGAAGCAAACAAATGAGATAACTGAGACACTTTATAGTCCTGGGTGAACCTCCATTTCTCATCCTCTCAAAGAGTCTCCATCCTGTGTATGTCTAGCTCAAGACCTTGTGTGCCGATCCTATCCCTGTCCTCTACCCCAGTGTTGAGTGTCAGACCCCAGGGCATCTCACAGACAAGGCAGCCAAACACTCTTACATTCAGCACCCTCCCACACATACAGAGACTGGTCTTGAACTTACCCTGTGGGCCAGTCATGATTCTCCTGCCTCACCTTCCCAAATAGCGAGGATTATAGTCCTGTGCCACCAGTTCTGGTTCTGATTGTTTGTTTTGTTTTGTTTTGTTTTTTTCTTTTTTTTTTTCATTTTTTAATGGGCTTTAAATCAGTCATCATGCTAATACCACTTTTTAAATATTTAATAGGGTAAAAGAACAGGAAACACAAGAAGAGGAACGTTTGATGGAAGAAAAGAAAAAGAAAAAGCAGGAAGACAAGAAAAAGAAGGAAGGTGCTCAGAAAAAGGTTTGCTGCAATTCCTTTCTCCACACCGTCGTAGTCATGTGTGTCACATGTGCCTTAGAATAGCTGTCTCATGACCACGCTTGATTCTGTTTCTGTTTTAAATCAATGTGCTAAATCTGTAATTAGTAAATAATGGGTACTTAGCTAGTAAAGTCAGTTTATTTAGGGTGCCAGCTGCAAAATGTCTTTTTTAAAGAGCCAGACATAGCAAAGTCTTGTTTCCAGGGGCTGTGTAGCTGATGTGCAAGAATGTTCATGCCTTCTTCTGAGAGTGGACTATATCCAGCCCAGAGCAGCCCCCATCTAAAACATCAGGAAGGAGCCATGAAACTGACAGCATAAGAAAAGCTAGAAATATTTTTTGCAGTCTTGGTAAATAGTCTTTATAAATCTTATTTATAAATGTTAAAATAAGTTGTATAAACCAATCTAAAGAGATGACTCAATAGTTAAGCACATTTGCTGCTTTTCCAGGGAACCCAAGTTCAGTCCCAGTTCAACCACCTGTAACTCCAGCTCCAGGGGAGGATTCAACACCCTCTTTTGGTCCCTTTGGGCACCTACACACACACACACACACACACACACCACACACACACGACAGACACACACACATGACAGACAGACAGACAGACACACACACACACACACACACACACACACACACCACACACCACACACTTAAAAATCTGGTTTTTAGAATTCTTTAAACCTTATAGTCATACTTCTATTTCATTACATGTAAACCAAATTATACAACCCATCTTTGCTTTCACCTAAGTAATGTGCCATGTGGTTTGAAGGATCCCTTCTAGACTGTGGCAGATAGGGAGCTCCATAAAAACTTTTTTGCCTGTAACTTAACACTGTCATGTAATCATGGCATGTAGAGAAATACTGATTTTTCTCAGTAGTAAATTACCTGGTTTGCTTTTAAAATTTCAAGAATTAAGTCTTAATCCAAGACTTTTGGACTTGGGAGACAGAAGCAGGCAGATCTGTCTGAGTTTGAGGCAAGCCTGATCTACACAGTGAGTTCCAGGATAGTCAAGGCTCCATGTCTTAAAGAAACTAAAAGAGCAAAACCTAAACCAATTAAAATCTGCTTATAAGCCAGGCGTTGATGGCGTACGCCTTTAATCCCAGCACTCGGGAGGCAGAGGCAGGTGGATCTCCGTGAGTTCGAGATCAGCCTGGTCTACAAGAGCTAATTCTAGGACAGCCTCCAAAGCCACCGAGAACCCCTGTCTCGAAAACCCAAAAAAAAAAAAAAAAAAAAATCTGCTTATAAACTTTCATCAATGTGTACATTCCACACAACCGTTTGTAAAGCATTTCTGATTTTTGTTTTTCAGGCTGCTGATCAAAAAACCAAAGGTAAGTTGTTTATTTGTTTTTAATATACATTTTGGGAGGGGCATACTTTTTATAGCGGTATCCAACTTTGCAATGAGGTGACTTTTGTAAAATTTATTTTATGTTTATAGATATTTTCACCTGCATGTGTGTCTGTGCACCAAGTGTGTGCAGTGCCCACACAGCCCAGAAGAGGGCCTTGGAGCCTCTATAACTGGAATTAAGATGGTTGTGAGCCACCATGTGGGTGTTGGGAATTGAACCCAGGTCCTCTGCAAGATCATCAAGTGCTGTTAAACCCTGAACCCCAGAAGGTGACATTAAAACAAAGGATCTAAGTCTGTCTTTGACTGTACATTTATTATACATTGTGAAGCTCTTCATTTGTGACTGGTTTTATGTATCTACATTTCATTGTCATTAGGTTAATATAAAACTGCCTAGAAAATGTTATCTGTGTTTTAAACAACACTTTAAATTTCCTTTTGCTTTAATTCCCACCAAATAAGGATCGAATTCAGGAAGGTGATTCATTTGGAATAAGACCCAGAGAAGGCTAAATTTTTTTAAAGCTTGAAATTCCTTACTGCCAGCTATTCCCTTGCAGACATCGTCTATTTCTTTCTTAGTGACGGGTAAGAGGCTTCTTTCCAGAGCTTGTTTACCCTTGTCTGTAACAGGGTTGGTCAGGCGTGCTGGGTGTGCTGGAGGCTCAGAGTGAGCCCATGCCCTGCACTTCATACTCGACACAGTAGGGACACATGTGGGTCACAGACCAGCTCTGTTCCCTCCATGACAAGGTCCTTCTTGAAGCTTCAGGTATTGCATCTTTAAAATGAGAAAAGTGATGGATTGTTCTTGCCTTATAAAGTTGTTGTAAAGACAAGTGAGCTCCCACAGGAAAAGAAAGGGACCAATAGCTAGAGTGTAACTGATGTTGAGTAAAGGTTGCTGTACTTCACTGTTACTTAAATCTTTTTGTCTTCCCTTGGACACAGTTGTACTTGTAGGTGCTGGCAATATAAGGGCTTTTACAAGAGTTCTCAGTTGCAGTCTATTCTAGTACTTCACTTCTAGCTGGCATCTGGCAGTTTTCAAGGTTAAAATTACATGTATGATCTTACACTTGAACTTCATAATTGAACAGGACTTGTAAGTTCTTGGTTTTGTAATAGTCCAGGCATAACGGGGGAGCCTGGGCTTCTGCCCTGTGCCTCAGTCCTTGCGCCAGGCTACTAGAGTCATGTCATGAGCTGAGTTAGTTCACTGTTACATGAGTATTAGAAGCAGCAGGGTACAAGGGCCTCTCTGCTCTGTTAGAATCTTTTCAAATGGACCAAAAGGACTGGCTGTGGCTGTGTTTGAGTTTATGATTTCAAATAAAACAGTGGTTCTTACTGTCATCTACAAAAACAGAACTCTTTGTGTATCATTCATCCCCCTTAAACGAGTCACTTTCACAGTTCGTTTCCATTGTCCTTCACTGCTGCGTGGTGCCTGAACAAACTGTGCTGCCCCTTGCCTGGGACTTCTGCTCTGTGTGCCTGTGCTGACAGCACCCGACTGCTTTCCTGTTACCTCTTCTGAGTGGCTGGCTCTGTGGGACACTTTGTCAGTGCCTACAACTGTCCTTTGGGTCTGTCCTAAAACAGTTGTTCATGTCCTTAGAAACAGAACAATCTAAAGTACTTGTGCATAATTTTCTTTTTAATTAATTATTTCTATTTTATATGTATGAGTATATTGCCCGCATGTTTGCATATGTGCCACATGTTTGCCCTGCATTCATGGAAGCCAGAAGAGGGTGCTACATCTCTTGGAATTGGAGAGTGGTTGTGAGCTGCCATGTGGGTGCTGGGAACTAACCCAGGTCCTCCGAAAGAGCAGCCAGTGCTCTTAATCAGCAAGTCATCCCTCCAGTCTAGATTGTTTTCTGATGATTATTAGCAGTGTTGGGTTTACATTTTTCTCAGATTTCCATCATTACTCGGTGCCATCAGAATCAGCTGTTGTGAGGTGACACTTTTGACTAGGCACTGGTGTTAGAAAGGACATGGCCTGATTTGGTGATAACATTTGTGCTCACAGTGTTCTGTTTGTTTCCCCTGTCGTGGCCTGGCAGTACATAGGGCTACATCTCCATGTTCCCTCCTTCCTGCCTAGAGCCCTCAGCTACTGCCTTTGTGCTAGGCCAGTTCTAGGCCCTGGCGTTAGTGACTCTGTTGCTGCTGTTGTCACCAGGGCTAGTAATACAAAGCTACAAAGCAAGGAGAGTCTGTGGAACAGCACAGCAAACCCTTGCCCACCTTCTCCTGTCAGAGCAGCACATGTCGGGAAGGTCGGCAGAGAAGCACAGCAGCTTTCCAGGCAGTGAGGAGGTGGTGTGGGTGTGTTAGGAGTCCCTCCTGTCTAACATAGGCTGGAAAAGAGAATGTGCGATCCCCTGGAGGAAGACTTACTGACAGTTGTGAGCTGCCATGTGGGTGACGGGAATAGAGCCTTGGTCCTCTCTAACCACCAAGCCATCTCTCCAGCACCTGGCTTTTTTTTTTTTTTTTTTTTTTTTAAGTCCTGGCTTTTGATTTCTTTGTGGGAGTCTCACGCTTGTTCTAAAGAGCAGGCCAAGTAGGGGAGTTGCAGAAGGAGCACCCTTCCTCTGGCACCCTGCCCGTAGCTTGTACCACAGGAGCCCTGCTTTCTCTGCAGACAGCAGACACTGCTGCTGCTCTCTGGAGCTCTGCTCGGCCTCTGTCCTTACGGCAGCTCTGCATTAATGCCTTTCTGAGTGCAAGGGTTAGCCTTGGCTACCGGACAGAGACCTTGCCTAAAGGGTAGGGGGAGATCCCACTAGCTCAGTTGGTGAAGTGCTTGTTAACCAACACCATGTAAAAAACTGGGTGAAGTGGCATATGCCTGTCCTTCCATCTCCAGGGAGTTGAAGATAGGAAGATGCCTGGGACTCACTGGCCTGGTGTTGCCAATTGGTGAGCTCCAACTTCACTGAGAGACCCTGTCTCAAAAAATAGGTAAAGACTGATAGAAGGTTGACATCTGATGTACACACAGACACACACACCACACATACACACCACACACCACACACACACACACACACACACACACCACACACACACACACACACAGACACACACACCACACATACACACCACACACCACACACACACACACACACCACACACACACACACACACACACCCCACACACACACACACACACACCCCACACACACACACACACACAGACACACACACCACACATACACACCACACACCACACACACCCACACACCCCACACACACACACACACACAGACACACACACCACACATACACACCACACACCACACACACCCACACACCCCACACACACACACACACACAGACACACACACCACACATACACACCACACACCACACACACCCACACACCCCACACACACACACACACACACACACACACACACACAGAGTGAAGGAACAAAAAATCCTAAGAGAAACTAATCCATCCAAGCTATTTCCCAGTTACTGTTTAGTAGCCATCCTTTACATCTCATTGTGTATTCATATAAACTCCCAGAATCCAGTACTTTCCACGGTTCATACTCCTCTTAATGCCAAAACACAAAGCCCTTTAAAAACCTTCCTGCCAGCCAGGCAATGGTGGCGCACACCTTTAGTCCCAGCACTCAAGCACTAAAGTCCCAGCACTTTAGTCCCTACTGTCATGAGATCACTAAGGGTATCGTTAGAGCAGAGGTTGGGTGTTTAGCTGCTCTTCTTTAAGTCTCTAATGCAAAGATAATGATGCTGTCTATGAACAGGCTGGCAGGAAGGTCTCCCCTCCCCCCCCATTTCTGTCTCTGTCCCTGTTTCTCTCTGCTCTCTTTCTTTTCTTTCCAAGACAGGGTTTCTCTGTGTCCTGGAACTCGCTCTGTAGACCAGGCTGGCCTCGAACTCACAGAGATCTGCCCACCTCTGCCCTCTGCCCCTTGAGTGCTGGAATTAAAGACATGCACCACCAATGCCTGGCTTAATTTTTTTATGTTCATAAAATAAATAAGTTTTCCTATAAAACATTTGAAGTTAGTTATAGCATCTCTGAAAGCAAGTGCCCCTGATGTTTAGTTATGACGACTGAGTTGAGATCTTGGTGGTGCAGGTGCGGCCCTGACATGTGTCCCCTGTGTGATTGCCAGTTCACAGAGAGCCTTTTCTGCACTTTGTTGTCAATGTAGCCATCTGAGTCACAGGTTACATACAGCTCACCTGAAACACACAAGCTTGTTATCAACGTGAGTGAAGAGTTCTGAGAGCCTGCCTGTCACCCTGACTTTATGGTATAGAGACAAAAAGAAGCAAGAACTCACATTCCACACCCACTGATGGGTGGTACTTCTGAGTAACTGAGGTAGCCATGGCTGTCTGTCCAGTCCTTTGAACACAGTAATCAGCAACTGGTTTTGATAAAACATAAGATCTGGGTTTTCCTGAGCTAAACAGTGAAATAAAATGGACAAAAATCTCAGACCTATACTCATTTTCTCTTAAGAGGATGTGAGCATCTTCTAAAGGCAGAAGCTAACAGACTGTTCGGTAGGCTCAGCAATGTGCATTTTACTTCGTGTGACACTTTATTTGCCCATCTGTGAGTTAACTAAAATCTTGGAGTTGAAGACTCCTTCAGGATTTCCGAGCTCCCATAGTACTGAGTGAGGAAATGCCATCCCAAGGAGTTAAATGGTTTATGACAGCTCATTAGTAGCAGAATTAGAACTGTGGTCTCTTGTTGTCAGTTGTATATTATTGTTTCTGCTACCACACAACTGGAAACACAGTCTGTGTGTCTGTTAGCTGTGTAACTGCTCACCGTTGGAAGGAACTTAGACTCTTTATAGTTTTCAAACAAGACTGAAAGAATTTATTATGTGAAGGATCTTTAGGGAACAACTTAAGGCTTTAAATGTTAGATTTGTCTTTCTTTGACTCTGTTGTTCTATGCTT